TATATATATATATATATAAGAAGCTTTTAGAGGACACAATGATCCAAAAATATTTATACATTATTACATTTAGAATATTTATATTATACCAATTAATAGCGAGACAAAGAAAGAGGGCTTGGTTTAGTGGCAGAGGATAGTCGAAACCAACTTACTTAAAGAGTATATAGATATTATGAATATAATAACATTATTATACATAACATCCACAGAGACCAAATACATAAGACTAGTTTAACGTTGAGGAGACAATTTGAGGAAAGCAAAAAAATAATGAGGAGTTGTAAAGCGACAAAGATAGGCCACGCAGAGCAAAGGAACAGGGAAACGTCTGGGAATCAGATTCACACACTGGACTGATTGATCGGTAAGAATTGCTGCCTGTAAAACAAATAACCATCTACTTAGTAATCCTAATAGTAACAACAAACGATAAACAAATAACGAACACAGAAAACAACTGCGAGATCAGTACAACGATTTAACGAAACGGCTTTGTGTACGAAAATAGATAAACATAGACAATGATCAAGACCGTGTTCGCAAATAGAACAAACACAATATATTATCCTAGAAATCAAGCTTCCACCCTTCGAATCGCAATAGGGATATTTACAGACAAACTAACGAACATAAATCTACGCTATATAGTATTACTGTTATGATCATCGTCGAGCAACGGTACACAGTGGCGATGCTGCTGTTGATGGCCATCTTTATACATTCAAACACGAAACACGAGGATTTAACGCTTACGTTCTGTCGAACACACGCACATACACACCTATATACATACATAGTCCAGGGGAAGAAAATAACAGCACAGACAACGGTACATAAAATAGCTAATGCTTCAATACGGTAACAAAGGCATAAACTATTCGGAAAGTTTCTAAACTAAACGAATTTCATACTATATCACCTACATGGTTAAAGCTACTATTAAGCAATGGTTATATTGACATAATTACGTCACTCAAAGACCACGGAACGCTGTTTATAGCAGGAAGAACATATAAAGCCGAGATTAGTACAGGACGACGACGACGACGACGACGACGCACGGTGTCTAAGCAGAACAGCGCTCAATCACGTCTTTGCCGTACGCCTGCTATATCTGTACGTTTGTTGTATGGTAGCAGTGGTTGCCCTCGCCAATGTGTCGCGTGTTGGCTTATCTGGAGATTATTTGAGCTAAGGATTAGAGCGTACTTGCGATTTTCGCCCCGGTCGGCGCTGCATTTCTACTCACGAAAACGGCCACGCGCGCCCCCACGTGATATAATTACTAACCATGCTAATAGCTATTACGGATGCGATTATGATGATGATGATGATGATGATGATGATTATATGCATAAATGGCATACAACAAATCTACAGGGCGAGTTGTGTCTACAGTGCCAGCTTGATTCCCAGGGGCTTGAAGTGTTTACGGGAACCCTCTGCTGGAGGGGCTTTGTTCAGGAGCAGGCTGCAACGGGAAACTAGCTACGATCAGTGGAGACAAACGGCATATTTGGCTAGCTAGCTAACTGTTAATGGGTACTATCGTGCGGCCTAAAACCGGCCCCGAGAGAGATGTGTGTAGAGTAGATCCGAAATAAAGATTCTTTTGTCAAAATGAAACAAGTCGCTGAATCGGAACGAATCAATCTATTCAGTTGTACGGAAGCACTAGTCTCACCAGACAACAGTACATTATTAAATAATAATAGTTGTATGACAGAAAGATCTACTACATTTTCTGCCACAACCTATCGTAATTCGGGTAGCAGCTATGATGAAAGCATGCAGGACTTATCTACAAGGTCGTTGCCCAAACTCAGAACCCACACAATAGTAGAATCAGAAAGCAGAAAACAACAACACTACGGGTAAGCGCTGCTTGACACAGTACCCAAACAAAGGGAAGCTAAATAAAACATTTCAAAAATTCCGTGGACGACAAAGAATAACCGAGTCCTCTTGAAAACAGACTGAAAAATAGTCGGTGGTATCCACCGACCGTAAAACCCCAATTATGACATTGCCGTTGCGCAATAGATTGGTCTAGCTATAATGATTGGCGCGGGATGGTATAATACAACCTGACGGCGGCGCATAGCAAGAAAATATGTAAAAGCAACATAAGTAACATCACATACGATATATTACTGTATTAGGTTACTACGATGAATAGAAAAAATGGGGTATGGGATGTGTGAAAGCTAGGAAGGGCTATTGATTGTCCAGCCATGCCAACTCCGTCTTCTGAGGATCTAATCCACTGTATATATAGAACTGTTACATACCATGGTGAAAATGATGATAATAATAATAATAATGAGGAGAAACAAACTAATGAAATATATAAATGAATGATGAAAAGATAATGGTGACAACTAATAAATAAAAGAAAGAGAACAAACCACACAATGCCTGACAGAATTCGCTCTTCATTTTCCTTTCATTGCATGTTGATATTATTGGCAGTCTAATCTAAATACGCTGTACGTAAAGTTTTTGGAAAGTTACTTAGCCGGGGCATAAAATAGCTCGCCGATCGATTAGAGCTGGTTCTTTAGTGTTACAGCGGGCTGGAATTGAATAGTTCTTGCTGTAGGTCTCGCAGTTCATTCAATGGCACCGCCAAAAGTTGTACCATTTGAATCTGTAGGTTCTTGTCCGTCCGTCATTTCCTAACCTCGGCTAGTTTTAGCTCCGATAGGATCCAAAAGGTCTGAAGCTGCCCTTAAAAAATAAACAAGGGAGCCGGCAAAGCTGTCATTTACGTTGGTCATTGGCGTGGACGACACCGTGGCGTCCACCAGATCTTTTGACACACTTTTTGCTTGTAACAGAAAAACGTACTTGTCGTGCCAAAAGGTTTAGATATCCATGCACCAAAGAAGCATCCAAGCACTAGGGTGCATATCGATAACGCATCAGCAGAGATTAGGCTGAAGTTGCAGATTCGTTAATATAATGATGATAGAATCCTAGTTTTCATTGACGCTGAAATTGACGCCCAGGTTTCGTCTTCTTTTTCTTTATACGCATTCGAACGCCTCTTCGGAAGCTCACAGAGCCTATGCTATTCTGTGAATACAAAAGTACTTTGGGAATTAGAAGCTCGCAGGATATATTCTAAGCCGTTCGTTGTAACGGGAAGGGCTGTTCCGTCGAAACTTGACGCCCCTACGCTCCTATCGACCTAAAGGCGAATCGGCAGACGTTATTGTGGTTGCTAAAACCTTATAGGTAATTAACAGGCTGTGCACTATTAAGGGCTTAGCTAAGATACCGCTAACGACTTACTGCTTCGGGTATTTGTTATTAAAGTAAATACGATTTTATAGCGTAAAGAGAGCACTTGGCGGCTTTCTTCCCTTCGGGTCACTGAGGTTAGAGGAACTATGGGTGTTAAAGGAGTGCATTTCGTCTTCAGCCGATCGCCTTTCGTCGACATGATTTAAATCCGAGTGTTTCGTAATAGGGACTCTCTATCCAAAGTAATACGCAAATAGGCTTTATGAGTGGACGTAAAACAAGACATTTATTCAGATATATTTTGTTCGACTGGGATCACAGCGGCTGTCATGTCCGTGCGGGGGTGTCATAGCCGCTGACACGCTACAACAGTCAGTGAGTTGGACATGTCGCTGTGCTATACCTACCTAATTAAGCCACTTATGCCCTCTCGCCCTGCAAAAGACATGCTGTTCGTAACGACCTGCAGTTGACAAGGCACATAAATTTCCTCACCTTTGGTGGAAAGGATGAGCCGTAGTTGATTATGTGCGGCTTTTGTCACGTGCAAGCGATTTACTTGATGGAATGGCTATGGCAAGCGTTTTCTCAGCCAGCGCGCTGGCCTGATTAAGTGCGGAGTTCCGAAGCGGTAGACTGAAGTCTATGAGAAGTCAACTAAGGCTGCCTCGTTAGGAATCGAATTTTTTCCTTTTCTCAGCGCCAGTGCCCAAACGGCCGCTATATAAGAGCACAGACTTCGCATCTAAGTAATAGGACAATCATGAATCAACACAGTAGCACGCATACTCTAGCTCAGACCGCTAAAAACAATGGGAGTACTCAATGTCCCGTCACGTATTCCCCTTTCTTACAATACGTATTAGTCTGCCATTTGATTTCTCTATGCCATCGATGGCACTTCATTTGACAATGCCTTCCGCTTCGCAGTTATTCCTAGTTAAGGCACTTACATCAGCGATTAAGCCACGTCGCCAAGGTGGTCTTGCCGACTTGGCCATGTGACAACGCTAATCAACTCCTATAATGTCTCCAATGGCCGTACACTGTGTGCTGTCTTTTTGAGCTTTTCGACCTCATTGGCGAAGGTCGTTGATATACTTTGATGAGAGTCAGTATTAGAGAACTAATTCCCGCCCAGTCCTTTGTACTTATTTCGTGTTCCATGACGCGACAGAGTACAATATATAGAGTGGCATTTGCAGAAACGCTCAAAGGAAACTCACTGATAATATCTGCCTTTATTAAATGGAATGAAGTAGGCGGAGCCTGTTACATATGCGATCAGAATATTCCTATCGACAGGCCGAAACCCGCGTATCCCGTTGAACTGATCGGTCGGACTGTATATTACGCGTTGATGGGAGGTTATTTCCCTTGTTCCGTTAGGTTGAGTGTTTATGATCCACCAGCCAACACTACTCACGCACGAAAAGGGTCAACGTTACGCCTCACCTTTTAGGAGTGAATTCAGGCCTGTTCCTTGTTGCAAACTGTTCGATCCACCATGCTCGAAACGCTCGCGTCCTACAAATCTCCATAACGGAAGCTGGCAGGTTTTTATCCTTTTCTGAAGCCTCAAGCGTTGCAGATACGCGTTACCTTCCTTGGAGTTCTCAGACTGGTTCTGTGAAAGAGTCCGGTTTGTATACAGATGGTGTGCGCAGACCAGACAGTCTCATTCGTTTATGAAGGAAGCGAAAGTGTTTGAAACGCCATTCTTGTCGCTGCCGCCCTTAGGACTCGTATACCGGTCGCGGTGTTGAAGTGAGCACCGCAGGCTACAGCTACAACTATGGTTGCACTTTGAAAAAATAGAAGCTGAATCGAAACTTGGGTAACATCAGGGCTAGGGATCGCAAACCTTTTGCAAGGAGGACCAATGCCTGAATCCTTTATGATGCAAAGCATATAGGTGAAAGCTAAGTAATGTAACGACCCACGCGTCATGGGCATGATGCTCGTATGGAGTGAGCGAATTTTCTGCCCTATAGCCTTTCAGGCTATAGGGCAGAAAATTGGTTGTGCAATACGCGTTTGCATCTCGCAGTTGAGACGTTTTATAATATTAAAGGGGCCGATTGCTGTAACATTATTATTAACTGATAACAATAGCCCATATGGATTTATATAGTCAGCAGGGCTTTATACATGTCTGTTTGGTAGTACCATCGTAACAAATGAGCGTTTCATGAGTAAGTTTTATGTATGGTTTCCTCATATGTTAGATAAATATACCACTTGATACTTACGCACAAATAGTTACGTTGGGCTTAAAACATTGCACGCACAAACATTAGTTATTTCTCATTCGCATATATATTATGCTTATCCTAAGAAGGCTCCGATAGGCCTACGAAGAACTCTTATCGGAAGCTTGGACCCCACATCCGTCAGTAGTGGGACTCTGAAAATAAAGTTACAGTTACGTAATTTCGTACATTTGCGCTAGCTTTCGGATAGTAGCAGCCAATGCGCCAAGCTCTCCGTAGCGGTTGTGATAACGACGGTAATTTTGTGCGTGTTTATTGCAGTAAAAGGTTTACATTTGCTTTTAAAATATTGTACCTATATTTACTCGAATAATAGTCACCTTGCTCTCTCATTTACTGCTACAGGCCAAATTCTCTTCTATTAGCAAATAGAATATAGATATAGAGAATAGGCAAATAGAATCTTCTATTTGCCATAGAAGATGTCTAGTTATTAGATTAACCTTCTCATTTCTATCCCAAAACGGATTTGGTCATACAAATCCACTGTAAAGAAATGGTTGGTCGATGTACTTTGCTTTCATTTTGTGTTTACCTCCGACCGGTTTATTATTATAGGCAAAATCAATCCTTATGTACGTCAGTAATCACGCTGGTTACATAGTTTACTTCGTTGTGCTTCATAGGCCGATTTCTTAGGAGAAATCTTCGTTGAACATAAATAACTACATAGAAACTTAGCTTTTTCAACAATAAATTTAGAATGTTTAAAAATATATATAAAGTTATTTACTGTATAAATATGCAGAAGATAGATGTGGCAGTGAACTAGCCATCTTTCGACGTTTGGTTTTATAAATGTTCATGAAATTTCAAGATGTTCGCTAATTAGTCTATTCTGGTTATCAGCTGTTCAGCCTATTAGACTTTTTTCATAGCCTTTGGACCATGTCCTAGGAACGGCGTCCAAAGAGTATAATGCTTTTTTATGATAGCTTTCTATTTTAACCTGTTGCACTCAGCAGCTAGCCAGCAGAAAGCCAGGTTCTTTCAGCGAAACGTAGCTATCGATATCATCATTCAACTGTGTATAGGCTATTAGCTGGATGGCAGTTCGTCATTGGACTCGGCCGCACTTGGTGAAGCTTTGCTGACCGAAAAGTTACGATACACTGCTTTGTATGTGGATGAAAGTAATACCAGTGTACGCGTTATATCATACAAACGAAGTCTTGCTTCCCCTGACAATGGAAGAGATTCTTGATCAAATCGGCCCATGGCATTATATGATTTTGTATCTTAACTCGGTTGGCGGGTTTCCATACCCGTGGCGAGTGATGGCGTTGCAGTTCATGGCGCCAAAGAGTTTGGACTACTGGTGCGCACGACCTAATGGTTCGATTTCGCTCGAAGACTGGAGAACACTTAATAAGGGCGTGGACTTACGCTGTTTTGTAAGAGATAACGACGGATCTGTCAATGGGAGTGTCAAAAAATGCAACGTTTGGGAGTTCGACCATAGCTACCACACACGAACCCTGATTGAAGAGGTATGAATTGGAACATAATGTCTATGCAAAAAGTTACTGAAACACAGGCAATAGTAAACTATGATTATATGCACATCGTAGATCAAAGTAAAAATGCGTAATTGGTGCCTGAACCAAACTTAGGACAAGTACCTTTTTCAATATAAGTGCGTTTAAAGGTCGTCTATTTGAGCACAGTGATATAGCTCACAAAAGTTGTAAAGTGCAAGGAACTTTAAGCAATGCGATCAGCAGGACGAGCTCCGCTGCAGTTGATTGAAAAGAAGTAAGTGACCTCTGAGCATATTCTTCTTTTGTTTCCATATTTCAGTGATTCAGCCACCATTCTATCATTGTGTGGCGGTTCGTCCCGTACATCATACATTTATTTCGTTTTTCCCCATGTTTTCAGCTCCTTGTACATTAGTTCTACCCTTTTATCAATTAATTCGTCCCTTCACTCACCGCTGTCATACTGTTAAAACCCGTCACCCTATTATATACAGCAGGCTACCTTATTGCGGCTGGCCTATTTTCAATCTTAGGACAGAATATCAAGCTTGTCCATGCTTATCTCACGCTGCTCGACAAAGCAGATGAGCAGATATGTCGAATCTCCCTGAAATTCTCGATTATGTGTAAAGTATGTTTTTTTAGCAAACTTTTTATAAAAACGGATTTTTTTTCAAGCTTCGATTTTGGATCTATTGTGTCAGTCTAGAAAAACCAGACTTTGCAACTGCACAACTGGCTGCCGTATCAGTCAGTTCTCACCAGTTTATGCCACAACTTACTAAGTTGTCGTATCATCAGCTTATAGCTTAATATCAACTGAAATTGAATACTGTTTTTGAGTCGACATATGTGTTTTCTATTATTGTATTACAGCGGGTCTTTGTGAGCTAAGACCGCACGTAAAACATCACGGAAACAACAGAACTCATAATCGGAATCCTAGATACCGGCTGATGTGTCAGTCCGTACGCGTACCTAAGGAAGAATCCAACTAGCAAAGGGCAACCCTTATTCGTTTAAAACAGTAGTAGAATATCCAAGAGATAATAATCTTGCAAATATAAATGATAGAATAAACATATGTTCATGCAGTATCCCAATGCACTGCACACGTACTCAAAATAATTGTCCTATAAAAAGTAGACACTGTTATGTAATGCCCATATAGTAGAAAAGCATCCAATATATTCTCCAGGAACAACTAGGAAATCGTTATATCTTCAGCTAAAACTTAGGTGTTAGCCTTGTGTCCAGTTTTTTGCTTACAAGGAAATCTTTTTTAAAAACAGGTATACAAATACTTTAGAAAGTACTGAATACAGTATCTGTTCTCATTTGCAGTTGAAAAGATATTTCGGTTAAAATTTTAAGTAAATAAATCGTAAAGATCCTGTGGGTGATTCCTAAGCGCCAAATGCCCCAACGGGATGGACAAAAGTCATTTATCCTCAAATAGAGAGAGCTTTTAGCGGCGAATTGACCATATCTTAGTAAACTGAGTATATGACATGAATTCAGTAAGCGGTAATAGGCGCAATCTAAGGAATAGCTAGGTGAAACATGGTCCCTCATAGTTGTTAGGAATGAAATGCGCATTGTCGTCATCATCAAGGGACACATACCTTCATGGGTACTCCATAGCATTCTAGCTAAAACCATTATCTAAAGAATTTTATAGATGGCCGTTGAATAATTGTTTTCGCTCTGTCTGTTCCAGTGGGACGCCGTGTGTGATCAAAAATGGCTTGTGGATTCTTCCCAATCATTGTACATGTCGGGAATGCTTAGTACGCTGATATTTTCACATATTTCGGATTGGTATGGTCGTCGCACAGCCCTTCGAATCTCACTCGTTCTGGCAATTGTTACCGGTTTTGCCGTGGCGTTCACTTCAGACTTCTGGACCTTCTCCATTCTGCGTATGGCCAATTCAGCCGTTGGTGTCGGCTTTTTCACTCTTGGTGAGTAGAAAAGGAGAGAAAATGTTGACCCTTTATCGAGCTTTCAAATGTTTAAATAGTTCCCGTGCCAATAAGCCATGTCAGATCGTCCCTTGCTCCTTGTCGAACAGCAGCGTGCTATATAGATATCTAAGTCGGTGTGCTAGCTATCCGTAATTACTATGGGAATCATGCTAAAAAAGCTAGATTGTATTTACTATTATAGTTATGCGGGCACTTGGTACTGAAAAACTAATAACTTTATGCTACTTTTTCCGTCAGCTGTGGAGTGCGTAGGTACATCAAAACGAGCAATGATGTCCCTAAGCAACGAATTTGGTTGGTTCATTGGGCTCATAGTCTTTCCATTGATAACCTTCCATGTCCGAAACTGGCGAATGCTCCAGGTTATCAGCACTATACCTGATATTCTTCACCTCTTTTGTACTTTGTGAGTATGAAGATTCCCGTCATAAACAGTCACCACACCACATGTGCCATAAAATAGGTGCAGGTAAGTAGGTAATCAGGCAAACTTATAAAGTAACCTCATGATACTCTTTCGAAATGATTCAACTCTCATAGAAAACCTGTGTCGTATGTTCTCATTATCTACCGTTAGAGCGGCTCGTTTTTAATAGTCAAAGGGAAAACGACAGGTCAACAGTTAGTCACGGCTCGAGTAAGCTCCGTTAGCGGAATCCTCCTTGTGGGCATGTGAAAGAAGGAAAAGAGCGATCAGTACATGTTGGCCCAGACGAATGATAATTAGCTCTGAACTGAAATAAACGTTACTGTTCGCTTCGAAAATCCCCAACCCAGCTCTACAGAAATGTTCAGCGGATTGAAGACTATGCATGATACATGTTGGCCCAGCCATCTAAAGCAATTATTCTAAAGTTCTAAAGCAACCGTGCAACGGCAATATGGAAAAGATTATTTCAAATAGTTTCCATCCATCCGAAAGTTCCATTAAAACAATTCTGTAATTAGAGAAGAAGCTGTTCTCAAGCAAAGGTCGCAGCTTAAGCTTGTTTGCACTTGCCATCCTTTACCAAACACCCAGTCAATATAACGTTTAAAGGATATATATGTATATATAACCTTTAATTTATATTGATTTCTTTGGTTTCTTCTTCTTATATTGGTTTCTACTTTAGCTTTGATCAGTTCTCTAATTGTCCTACACTGTTATATGCTTTTTAAGACCAAACTAAAAGGCTACAAAAAGTTGCGCGGTTTTTCTAAATTCATCTAACTTGTTTTATTGAGTAACCTATCGCGTAACGTTGTTATTCATTTTAGCGTCTAGGACTAAGCGTCTCCTAAAATCAAAATAACTCTTAAAAGACGATTTTGCTGAACGCATCAAACATAAACACTGCAATAAGCAGACGTATTTCGAGATTAAGGTACTACCGACCTTGGCGCTCTTTGACACATGGCCTTATGAAGAGTGCTGCAGTCTTCTGGAATTCTTCCAAGTGATGAAGGGTTATGTTGCCGATCGACAGTGGCATTGAGTGCGCCTAGTAAATCAGAATCGTATAGCGATTTTATCAATGTGAGTACAAATTTAGCGGATATCGTAGCAGTTCATTAGATAAGCTGGCCTCTTATTAATACCTAATCGCCAACTCGACTTTTCTTATATCCATTTGTTACGAAGCTTCGTTGATGAGTCTCCGAAGTGGCTCGTATCGATGGGTCGTTTTGATGAAGCCAAAGATCTACTGAGTAAGATTGTTCGACGCAATAACCTTCAGGACATCGATGTTCCGGCGATTATAAAGGAGGCACGCAAAAAAATCGAAAATGTATGTAACCTTCAATTGTAGTAGTTTGTTCAGCATCCATACATATTAAGCTGGCAGTATCTCTGTATTAGGGCTAAATCTAATACTCGGTTCGTGGCAAAACCACGGAGGATTTGCTAGCTCATAGGTGAAATTAAGCTTTGTTTAATACATTATTTTGCCTACATTACAGTTACATAATATTTTGCCTTTCCAGGGCATATTCTCGAAAAACGCACTTCATGTTATTCGTCGTTAGAACCTTTCATTTCAGCTACATGTTTGTTAATATTATAGGAAAAGAAAAATAAGCCAAATCGAAGGACTGCTCTCGATCTCTTCCGGGGATGTATTATTGCTCGGACTACCTTTGCCTGTACCATCAACTAGTGAGTCTAACGATTACCAGCAAAATAGAGAAATTTCACATAAATAACTGTCTACGATAAGCGCACCTTGGTCCTGCAAGTAAGGCGCCAACGATAGTACGGGGTATTTACCAGAGCGCTCAAATAACAAATATGTAGCCTTCTAACAGCTGACAAACATGTTCATTCTTTTAAGCATGACGGTCGTCCTCATTTACTACGAACTCGTGTATTTCACCGTGGAGCTCGGATCCAATCCATACCTTAACCTCGTCTTCATGGCCCTTAGCGAAGCGCCAATAAGCATAACGTCATTTTTCGTCGTCTATTATTTGCGTCGAACGCCGATGTACAGCGTCACTTACGTTGCTACCATCAGTTCCCTGATTGTTCTACTTTTTCTCCGTAACTGTAAGTTCTGAAGCGAAATTCTCTCTCTTGGCGAATAGAGTCTCATTAAACTGCAGTAAACATAGATTTCTAGCTTTATTGACTTGCTGTCGCTAGCATATAGTCGTTGAAAGAGCTGGACATATATGTTTTCTTAGGTTCTTCGATTACCTCTCTTTCCACTTATTTATTTCACATTCTACGTAGGTCTAAGGCTAATGTAATCTATAGGGTAGTTCCAGGTCTGGGACAATTGTATATTATAGGTACTCACAAGAAAAAATATTGTGCTTTCACAACGAACCTACTTAGCAGCCGTCATCGTGAAGCTACCTTAAGAACTCCGAAGATGAGGCGCACTTCGTATTTCGGACGATGCCGACTTGGAGTTCGAAAATTACTTTTGCAATATATACCACTAAGCGTGTTTTTATTGATAGCATCAACAGCGCTACGTATGACGTTCGCATCGATAGCGAAATTATCCGGCCAGGTAACCTGGAGTGTCCTCTACGTTCATATGAGCGAGATTTACCCGACGCACGTCCGTTCTACCGTCAACGGCGTCGTGTATACGGCATCTTGGTTTAGTGCAGTTAGTGCACCGATGTTAAACGCCCTGGTACGTTTGCCTATGACAACGCGGATTCTTACTATTCGGTCAAAGTAAGATTTGCTAGGGATACTTGCTTGTATAGCTGATCTTTTCTAGTTTGTCTTGGAAGACTTGACGGACCAACGAGTTCTACTTTGCACTGGTAATTTTTTTCAAAAAGAAGGTTAACAAACAGTGTACGAAAATGAGTGGGGGTAGTTTGGGAAACCCTTTTTTTTTTCTTAACTAAAATTCCTACCGTGTCCTGGGAGCGCACGAATCTCCTGTGAAGTGCATTAGCGATTAACTTGTTTACGGTACGGATTTCTGCGTAGGGCGAGGCCACCTATGCGTGGTTTCCAATTGCGTTAACAATTACTCTGAGTGTCATAAGCTGGGGTATATCGTTTTTCCTTCCTGAAACTTTTGGTCGCCGTCTACCCGACACATTTCACGAATCAGAAGAATTACTTCGAAGCCGCTGGAAGAAATCGGATCAGTAAGTGCATCTGGTTTCATCGTTCTGTGAAATAGTTTTGTCCGTTCTGAAAAGTTAGGAGACGCTGAATGAAAGTGTAGTCCGCGGTCCCTTAATACCAAATAAAACAGAATTGTAAATAATAGGAAATACATACTTTGCATTGATAAGCAAATAAAAGGAAGAATCAAATCAAGACCAATTAACCTACCCTCTTCCCACTTGGCGGGCATTTTTAGCTTGCCCCGTATATTGCACGATCTTTAGGGTACAACCGATCTCTAACCAGATTCATTGATAAAGTTAATCAACTAAAGTTATTAACTAATTTCAGAGAACCCAAGGAAACGGAGCTGACGGAAAAAACAGACGAATAGAAATTACGAAACGATGAATAAATAGTCGTCCTGTAACGAACTATGTAGAAGGTTTAATTTTATACTCCCAATTATAGTGGCAATTCTTTTTATTGATAGTGGACGAATTGCCACTGATAATCGTTTTGTGCCGTCTGGACTGAACTAATCACAATTATAATACGAGCCTCGTAGTTATAATTAATAGTTAATAATAAGAACAGGATATCTGAGATCACTTTTGTAATCCTACAGAGGTGAGCTTTTTTTCGGCTTGCTCTAACTGTCGCCAATTCATCGGTACATAGATAACCGGCCTACTTGCTGCACTTCGCATTTTTTCATTTAGATCGATCGGTTCCGTTAATCTGTCGTTGGGCAGATTTTGTTCCTCTATGGCCCATATCCACTAAGTTGAGACCCAATACTGAAATGAGCAGGTTGCTCCCACAGCTGTTCATGGGCGTGCAGTGTGAGAGTGATGTCAAAACTTGCCAGCGCTACCGACGGGTTGCTTTGAGTGAAACGAAAATGTAACGACGTGAGATATTATAAGGCTCAATTGCCTAGTGGCGAACGAATGCTTTTTACATTGAGACATGGCACTGAAGTGCCGATCATCACGCGTACAATCTTCGGTGTTCATGTGTGAAGACATCGGTTATTCCTGCATTCGCAAGTACACCTTACCGAAATTTCGGAGAGGCCGAATAACGGCGTAATTTAACTTTGTGCTAATATTACAGACATAATCCTGCTACTAGTTCTCACAAATCAAATTCACTATCGCTACCGTTTGGGTTTCTCAGAAACACTTAACACTTCACAGTATTAAAGCCTTGGTTCATAGCAAAGCGTGTCCGCGCATTCAGTTTTTGTATCCTTGTCCTTAATTCTTGAAGCGTGTCAGGCAGGTTACATCTGTTACATCTTAGTGCTTCGGGTGTCGTGAGAGTCGCAGTCCAGAGAGAAAAACTCCAAGACAATGGTCGAAATTTGAAAAAAAAAGCTGCCCGCAAGCTGTTGAAGAACACACAAAAAAATACTTTCAAAGCCGCCGCTGGCTTTAAATCACATCATAGTTTGAACAATGTTTGCTTATTTTTATTGCTAAGAGAATCGAACTCCTACATTCTGTATTTCTAATAAATCTCCCAGCTCTGAAATTTCTATTTTCAGGCCTTGGAAAAATTATTTTTTACAACAATTATTTTGTACCTAAGGTTTTAGACTATCCCACTATACATATGCATATAGATTTACTTCGTAGACAAAAAGCCAACCAGCGTACACATAACCGATACATCTATTATGCCGAATCTCAATATGAAAAGTCCTTCGTCACAGAGCGTACTGGCAGGGGAAGGACGTCGCTGTCATGCACTGCAAGAATATTTATGCAGTTCTCCGCTGTTGATGCTAAAGATACTCGTAGCCAAGTATCAGGACAACATAAGGCGTCTGTTGTAGTTTTTGGAACGGAATGGCACCATATGCCGACACACAGCCATATTGTAGATCATTCAGATTGTATGCCTATATGCTCTTTCATTCATGTGTTACGTGAGTTATGTCACCTTTTACAAATGCTTTATTTGCCGTTTTGTTTTTAAACTCTACGTCACTTCATGTTTTAGATAGGTGCTTTTTTTCGCAACCCTCCCTAGGATTAAGCGATTGCATGTTTATCACGTAAGCGTTTTGACACGTAGAAACGATCATTTCGACCGGATGCCAAATGTTCCGTTGTTACTCTTTGGCGACGGAAAAGTCCTGCAAGGCGACAGCTAAAACAACTAAAATTGTGTACGTGACCACAGAGACAAGCTTTCGATAGATGCGTTTAAGCACATAGTAAGCCACGAGAATGGCTTGGCGGGACCTCGGTCAAGACCGTAAAAGCAAGATTGAAATATGGATTACTGCCAGGGTCAACGATGCTTGTGTGTTGCGGAAAACCGCGAAGAAATAGCATACATAGCAAACAATTAAACACTTCACCGGAAGAATACAGGCTTCTTTATTGCATCGGTTTCCTTAATGGACCTAATTTCTGTTTTTTCATCAAAATGTTTTTCATACAAATTTCAGTTTTCTGACTGTTTTTCAGAAATCTGACTTGAGCTAGCAGGTAACAATTGGATGCGGTTATGGGTTCATATGCGTGATTTTCTTAATAATCAATTGTTATCATATTATTACAAAATACTCGCTCATTAAATATGCAGACCGCTGTTGTCCTAGCAATGATAAGCCCTCAAGAGGAGTCGAGCCGGCTTGCACGAGAGTGTAGTAGCTTTTCCGGGAACAGAAAATGTTTATCTTCTTTCCAGTCACCCTGCGAGTATATATTACCAGTTACTCTTACACATATTGTCATTTGTGTTTAGCAAAAATATAAGCGCAAATTAACGACATAGATTTTGTAGCCTGCTTTTTTTTCTTGCAACCCTGTAAGGTACCACTATTCTATTTTTGAATAATGCGGCACTTGTTATATCTGTCCCGTCGAGCACATACAGTGACCGCTAAGAACGACCGCTAAATTGTCGAGATACGTTGCAGTGAGACAAACGTGGAGTAACCCGCGAAATTTCGAATGAGCTAAATTTAATCGTCGATATATTCAATATTTCGCCCACAACAATTCTTATCATAATTGTAAGAGAAGAAAAATAGCGTAATGACGAAGTAATTGCTCTTCTCTAGTAAAAATGAACAAAACGTAGTTATGTGCCATAGGGCTATTTTCGTCGCGTAGTCAACAAGAGGAAATGCTGCCATTACTCATCAATGTTCACTTATCGCCATTCCCTCCGTTTTCTAGCTCTTACATACTTCACGGCTGTCTCCGGTTTATTATAGATACACACACTAAGGAATTCGCCAGTTAAATAATGTTGTCTACGGGGTGGTGCAGATATAGCAAGTAGTTCCTCTTACTTTTCTACGTTTTTCGTGGCGGAAGCTCTTTGCGATAGCGTAGAAAAGATGAAATGGTGGCGTAAAATAACTATTTTAAAGAATAAATAGAACTTAGTTGTTGGTCAGGTCATGGATGATAGGCACGGTAAGTTATCATTCATTCTATTCTTTTCAAGTCGATGGCCTATACAAGCATTTTAAAAACATCCATATGCCACGTTTTACAATCTGTAAGTAGAAAAGTACACGCGTATTATGAAGTAGGGTGCATCTGAAAATAGGCAGTTGAAATATACGCCGTGCAGTGTTTGCGGTCGACCGTTAACGTCAATCGTCATTGGTTTAGCGGCTGTTGCACCTTCGACTACGTCACTCGCTTCCACTGAAAGTACTATATATTAGTAAATACGTATTATCAAAAATGCGTTGAACCGTAAGTATTGACGGACGAGACGATTACAAAATTAAGATCTGGATAAGATTTGCCAGGAGAACTGATTGCGGGTAACTTGACAGCCATCCTTTTCTACACACCGCATCCCATCGCAAAATTGTTGCTAGACACTTGCTTGCTTATATAAACTATATAACTACACCTTTTTCGTAATTTTCTATCTGTCTAGTAAATTTCCGAATACTTAGATCGGACGCACCAGTATTTCATGTCCGGGAACTAGGTGGCCATCTCTTGCCAGATGTATGAGACGCTTCCCGGCGTATTAAGCAGGAACATTGGATAGTGCCATAGGCCCAACGAATTTAGAGGATCGTTCATTTCATAAACTTCCTTAAGCTCCTGTGCCTATCGATCTTGGCTCAGATGTGAAAATAGTTGTAGATTTCACATCAAACGTACCCGCAGTCAGATGTACAAGTTTTGATTGAAGTATATAAAAAGCATAATGGCTTATTAGAGCCTTGACGGTTGATGCTGGTAAACGACTACCCGCTGAAACAAACAATATCCGCATCCAATTTTTAGCGATGCAGTTTCCTACCTTAATTTTTGCCCTTTTGTAACTTACGTCTATCATTGAGCTTAAAAAGTAATCACTTTTTGCTTTAACTAATTCGTACTCGTTCTGACAATCAGCGCCTGTCTTTGAGATTTTCTCAAATGTAGATTCTATCTATAAATAAATAGGGACCTTTAAAGCTGAGATGTTAATGAGGATTCTTAATACCTTCACGATGTAATGACAGCTTTCTGTCTGCCGCACGTAAACGTAACGTATTCAGCTAATGCATATGCCACTATACCAACGCGATCGTTGCATATTATCTCAGCATAGTCCATTGGCTTGCTCGTTGCACGCGTTGCAAACTCTGCCACGCTTGGCCTTTTTCTCACTCGATGCTTTGTAGGTCCTGGACCCTAGGAGTTCATTATGATTCTTCTAGGCAACAGAAACTCTAGCCAACATGGCCTGCTTACTGTCCTAGGAACGATCATAAGCCTCGGAATATACGGGCCCTTACTTCAGTCATTTTCTTAAGTATTATATTCCTTTGTTAAAGCTGCCGAGAACGATTACCGATACCGGGACCTTATGATTTAGCCTAATTTGACGGTGAAAAAAAGAGGCATGTCTACAATGACGTTAGAAACTGAAGCATTGCAGAGGTTTTCGAAGGTTGTCAATGACCATCTCAAGTTCGTGACCGTAGCCTTTCGTCCAAGTGCAAACAACGTCTTCGGTTCCTTTGAGGGAAAATGATCACAGTGTTTCCTGTTGTGTTTACGTGCACATCTACTCCCGTTTCCGACCTCAACTTTCGGGCTGAATCGTACCTGAAAAAAACTTCTAGTCACGGAAATACTTCACACCTTAACTATATGAGATGTCTTAGCTCAGCCGTCACCCCTTCGGTTGACCTCTACAAATTGTCAAACTATTGCATTAAGTCCATGTACATAGATGTGGCCTCGTTAAGTCGAAGTGGTTATCACTTCGACCTAGACCGTATAGAATAGAACAATGGCTATTAGACTTGGTAACGTTTTCGTTCGATCTACCTGGCTAGCTGTTACTGAATTTTATTGTCTGAACCTGTGGGAATAAAACCGTATTTGATTCAGGCTTGAGTAGAAAGCGCTGTTGTACCAGCTTTTTCCGTAGACCGTTTTCTAAATGTTTACC